GCAGCCCGGCCCCCCCGGGCCGATGCAAACGAGCCGCCGCCGAGCCAGCGAACCAGCGAGCCAGCTCGGCTCCCACCGCCCGGCCCCGGCCCCGGAGCCAGGCGGGCTCGGCCGGGAGGGGGCTGCAGCCGCCCAGCCCCCCAGCCCCAGCCAGGCCCCGGCCAGAGAAAGACCGACCCCCCCCACCACCCACCACCAGCACCAAGAGAAGAAAGGCCTGCCCCCGAGTCCCCGCACGCCCGAGCCCAGGGCTGGGGGAGCGCCCCCCAGCTCGAGCCCCCCACCCAGGGCAGGCAGCCGCAGCAACCTGCCCGCCGCGGTACCCCACGGGCCGGGGGCCGGGGGGCGGGGGAAGCTCGGCTGCTGCCGAGGCGGCGCGCAGGGCCCGCCCGTGCCGGACTCGGGGGCGGGGGGCAGCTGGGGACCCCCTTTCTTTTCCTTTTTTTTCGGGTGGGAAGAAAAACTCCCAGGCTGGAATTTGACAGTTGAGCCTAGGAAGGAAGCCCCGTGGCCCACCACCCTGCCCTTGGGAACCGCGATCAGCCCCCAGGCTGGCGGCTTTGCAGCCAGGGAGGCCCCCGGGACCCAAAATGCGCGCGGCTGCAAAACTTTTGCACGATTCCGAACTAAACACTTCCATTAGAAAAGCGGGGTGCTAGAAAGGCATTCTGGGTATTAGCATGCAAATGAACCGAGCCGGCTTCCAACTTTGCTTCAGGTCCCAAATGCTGAATTTACTATAACGTTAAAAAGCCGCATGTTCCCTGGATTCTCGCTCACAACTGCGATTGGCCTGCGCCCGCAGTTTGCACGCACAGTGCAGAGGCTCCAGCCCTTCCTTCCTATCCCCCCGGGCTCCCTGGGTGGGTGACCTCAGCGTAGGTAGGCCGCCCTAGCTGGCAAGGGTGGGGCCCTGGAACAAAGGGGGAGACACCAACCGGCACTCCCCTCCTCTGGTGCTGGGGTCCCTTCCACCTCGGGGGAAGTCCCTGGCTCTGTCTGCCCTTAGAGATTGCCGAGCAACAATTCTAGAACCTGCTCGATCTAGATTTCGGAGCTGGAAGGGACCTTAGGAGATAGAGCAGAAAGAGACTTCACCAAGCACCTATTGTGTGAGCTCGCTGCTGCTGGCAGCCGGGAGTGGTGGGTGGTGAGACACCCTTCAAACCGAGGAAAACTGGGCTTTGATCCACTGGCTGGATAACCTGGGCAAATCAGCTGCAGTCTAGACAGCTCTCGCAGACCTGCACTGACATCCGGGTGAAAACACCGGTTTGGTCCAAGTCTATCCCTATCCTAGGTGCTGAGGATGCAGAGCTGGGGCTGACTTCCTTTAAGGCAACTCAGCTAGCATTTCCCTATAGCCTGTTACGTGCCTGGACCCGATCGTGGAACCCATACTTTCAAAAATGAGAAACTGCCTCAGAGCCAAGACCTGCCTGGTCCCTCCTCACCTCTGAAATCCCCCTTGTCCTTCAAAGCAGGGCTCCTATGGCACCTTTCCTGCCCTGCAGCTCCCTCCCACCTGCTACTTCTGGCCACTTCTAAATTACCACCTAGTTTATTTTACACATACTTCACCAACAACAACAATAGTAAACGTTTACTTGGGGTTTTAAGTTATGTAGCAGTCTTGCTCAATAGAATGTAAACTCCGTGTGGACACGATCTGTTTCCTTCGTCTTTGTATTCCCAGCACTTAGACTGTTTGCTTGTGCTCTCCTTAGACTGTAAACTCCCCGAGGGAATGTTTGTACTCTACCACTTAGACCAGAGCCAGACGCTTAGTGATGAGTCCATAATTGAAGACTGACTGCCTGACCCAGGTCCTGGCTCACAGTAGGCACTTAATAAATGCACATTCATGGGCATGGTTCATCTATTAAAGAGAAAATTTCAAAGGGACATGAGAGCTATAGGCCAGCATCTGAAGGCTGTTATTTGGCCAAGCGATTAAACTTGTTCTTGAACCCTGAAGGCAAAACTAGGAAGGAATTGAGGAAAAGCAGATTTCAGTTTGAGTTGAAGAAAATTAAGAGTGTTGCTGGTGCCCTTCCCTAGCGGGGCTTTTCAAGCTGAGGCTGATCTACTCTAGAGGGGATTCCGGTTTGGATTCAGGGGGGACCACACTGCCCATGAGAGCCCGTCCCATTGCGCCACTCAGTGATTTGTATGCACTAGCTCTGGACATTTCTGCTCCACCAGGCAGATTGTCTCCTGTGCTCAAGAAGTGTTAGGGCTTCCCCAGTTCTGTCCAGCAGCTGGACCAGGTCCAGCTGTGATCTTAGGGTTAGACACTAAAGTAGTTCCAGAGCAGCCAGACGCAGAACTTTGTGCCTCCGCCGTGGCCCCAAGTGTCAGAGCAAAAATCAGTTAGCATTATTAAGTACCAGGACCCAAATCCATGTGTTTAATAATAGCTAACATTTATGTAACACTTTAAGGCTTACTTATTTCATTTGATCCTCGCAACGACCCTGAGGGGTAGGCGTTATTATTACCTGTTTTACAGATAAGGACACTGAGGCTGAGAGCACAGCTAGGAAGTATCTGAGGCAGGATTGGAACTCGGAGCTTTCGGACTCCAAGCCTAGCACTTTATTCCCTCTGGCCATCTAGCTTCCCCCCCAGACATGGAATGAGGTGAATCTGAAATTGACATTCCAAGCTGGAAGGGACACCTAAGGCTATCTTAATCTCAGGTACCCTAGTGAGGATTCCTTCTACAATAGCCCCTACTGGGGTCATCCAGTCTCTGCTGGTGATGGGGAACTCACTACTGGTGACAGTATGTTCCACTTTTGGACAGCTCTACTCATTAGCTATTTGTCCTGACATCAAGCTTAAATCTATCTCTGCAACTTCCAGACATTGTACCTATTTCTCCTCTCTGGCGACAAACAAAACAAGTCTAAATTTTTCTTCTGTGTTCCATCCCTTCAAAAACTTACAATTACCTTGTTTCCCATCTCCCCTCAGTTTCTTCAAACGACCCTCACATGGCATGGACTCAAGACCCCTCAGTATCCTAGTTGCTCTCCCCTGGAGTCTTTCCATCTTAACAAAGTCCTAAACCACAGTGCATAGAACTGAACACAATCCTGCAGATGTGATCTGACCAGGAGAGAATATAGCCAGGGCCATGTAATAGTCCCAAGGTTTATATGTGTATACCAACAGGAATTGGATTTTCCCTTATTAAGAGTGTTTATACTAGGGATGCAAGTATAGTTCAACGTTAGGAAAACAACATATATTAAAAACAAAAATGTGCAAAACTGCATAGTTACATCAATAGATAAAGAAAAAAAGCTTTGATGAAGTGTAACTCATGCTAAATATCCTACAAAGTATAGACACAAGACTTTTTTGTAGTATCATAAAAAGCTAGCATAATATGCAGGGAGCACACATTAGAAGCCTTCCCACCAAATACAGGGGTAAAGCAATCATGCCTTTCTTCTGTTACTATAGAACAGTTTTTTAAATTCTAGTGAAAGCGACAAAAGCAAAATGAAAGACATACACATAGACTAAGGAAAGACTCAGCTATCCTTATTGACTGATGAGTGATTCAAAAAAAGAAGCTACTTGGGGCAATCATTTCAGGAACCAGCAGAATATAAAATAAGTCCTCAAACATTTAAAGAATTGTCATGGAAAAACAGATTTGATTCATTCTTCTTGGCCCCAGAGTGCAAAACCAGTATAATGGTGGAAAGCTTGAAAAGCCATTTTGGGTGTAGGAAAAACTTCCCAGTAATGAGAACTGTTTCAAAGTGGAATGGGGGGAGGGTTTCAAGCTGCCCAACAGTAGAGGTCCTCAGGGGAAGGCTATTGGGGATATTGTGGAAAAGATTCTTATTCAGGTATGAATCGGACATTCCAAGCTAGAAGGGACCCTTGAGACCATCTTAATCCCCTGTAGCTGAGAGAGGATATTTTCTACAATATCCTTAACAGGGGGTCATTCAGTCTTTGCTTGAAGACTTCTAATGATGGAGAACCCACAATTTCCCATGGCAATGTGTTCTACTTTTGGACAGCTTTACTCATTAGCAATTAAACTGGATGACCCCTGAGCTCTTGGTTCAGCTCAGAAAGTTTAAATGATTTGTTTTCAAGGTCACACAACTAGTAATAGAGCTGGTTCTCTCACCCATGTCTGCAGATGCCAAGTCAAATTCTTTTCCCCCATCACCATATAACAGAGTCCTTAGAAATACCATTAATGCTTTCTCTGGGAGTAGGGTATAAAGGACTCTTTTTCAGGTCACTTGATTTTTAACTTTTTCCCTGGAATCTTAGGAATTTTCCCTGGAATCATAGGCAACTGTCCAACGGAGTGTTTTTCTTTTCTAGGCAGAACCCAGAAGAGTAAGGGAAGCATTTCTGTATCTATTCAAGATGTTGGGAAATGCTTTTTTTTTTTTTTTTTTTTCTTAATGGGTAGAACATGGACATGGGGGTCTGGCCAACCTGGGTTCAAGTCTTGCCTTGGAAACTGACTAGCTCTGTGACTACATGTTGTCATTTAACCTCTTGTATCCTCAATTTCCTTTTTGTAAGAGAAGAATAATAGTAATTCTAACACAACCTCCTAGGGTTGTAGTGAAGATCAAATGAGGTAATGTATGTCAAGTGCTTTGCAAACTTCAAAGCACTAGATGATTATTATTGATATATAATAAATATGTTAAAATATATACAATATGTATTATATCTCCTATAAGGTAATGTATGTCAAGTGCTTTGCAAACTTCAAAGCACTAGATTATTATTAACATATAATAAATATATTAAAATATATATAATATATATCTCCTGTATCATATATGTGTTTTATATTTATACATTATTTGAAATTACTAATATTACTAGTATTCAAATTATCGCATCACTTTTATAATGGAAACAGCCACTTATTGAAGGAATGAATGGTTTTCTTCTTGTTTAATGGTGTCTGACTCTGTGACCCCATTTGGGATTTTCTTGGCAGCGATACAAGAGTGGTTTGCCACTTCCTTCTCAAGCTTATTTTACAGATGAGGAAACTGAGGCAGACAGGGTAAAGCGACTTTAAACCTAGAGTTACACAGCTAGTAAATGTCTGAGGCCAGATTTGAGTTCAGAAATATGAGTCTTCCTAACTAAGGCCTGGCGCCCTATCCACTGTGACATCTAACTGCCCTGAATAAGTCAAAATACGTGCCCAAATATTGAATGTTGAATATGGGGTAGTGACTGACCCATCACTGGAAGCTTTTAAGTGGGGGCAGAATGGTCACTGAGTGGACATAATGCTTCAGCTGTAGGTTGAACAAGATGACGGATGCCTTCCCTCCTAACAGTAAGATTCCACAATTTTATGACTTAATCAGTGAACGTTCTGAATGCCTTCTGTTTCCAAGTTGGGGGAGGGTATACCCTGCATCTTGTCTATTCTCAATGTCATAGTGGAAAGAACACGGCATTTTGAGTTGGAGGACTTCAGGCCTTACTATCTCTGTGACCATGAATAAGCCACTTGACTTCTTTGAGGGTGTCTCCTCTGTAAATTGAGGTGGGTGGGGTGAACAAGATGGCCCCTAAGATCCCTTCCAGGTCTAATTCTCAAGATCCTGTAAGTGTTCCATCTGACTCGGACTTCCCCTTCTTGGGACCTTGGCCGCTTATCCGCTGTGTTTCCCATCTGCATTATCATGAGTAAGGAAGAATGCCTGTTGGTCACTGGTACACAACAATTTCAGTATTGGCTGAGTTAAGCTCAGGAAAGGTCAGAAGAGGGCTGTAGGTTTGAATGTCACCGGCTAAAGTACTAGGTATTTCATGTGGGCTCAGAGATTTGATTCCTAGCCACATGACCCTTAAAAAAGTCATTTAGCCTCTCTGACCCTCCATTTCCTCATCTAG